GCCGTGGAGGGGAGGGTAGGGGTGGGGGCTGCCATGTTTGTGTGATTGTGGATGTCAAGTGAGCAAGGGTGCAAAGGTGCAGATGCAAAGTCCTGGGCCAGTTGTGGCAGGACAGTAGGAGAATAGACATCTTCGGCACCAAAAAAAGCATGGCGTGGGGTTGAAAGCTTTGCGCAGGATTTGCTGACTGGCTTTGAGCGAAACGTCCTGACACTCGAAGGCATGGCGTCACTCACTGATGACCAGATCAACCATCCGCGCCCCCCACGCATTCTTCCACCCCGCGCGTGCACAGGTATTGAGGGCTGGCCCCCAGGGGCGCGTTGTGATCGTGCTGCCCACCAAGGCGCTGGTCAACCAGGTGGCGGCACAGGTGAGGGGCGGGCGCACGCGCGCCACGGGCGGAGCGGCGGAAGCCAGCGGCTCGGGTGTATGTGCACACATTTGCTTGAGCACCTTGAGCACCTGTTTGACACCAGCCCGCGACCCAGCAACAGCATCCCAAAACAACACCCACCAACACCATACCAAGACCCATCCCACACGTCAACCCTGCTGCAGGTGTACAAGGACTTCGGGGCGGACGACCCCAACGTGTACGGTGGGCCCAATTACAGGAGTGAAGGGTGAAGGGATGCGTAGCGGCGTCGATGCAGTGTCCCATGCGCGAAGCATTCGTGGGAGCCAACCGCTGCGCTTGCTTGGCGTTCTCCTGGTGTTATGACTCATGCATCACACGGATCTTCACGCGCGACTTCCGCATCAATGAGATGGGCTGCCGCGTGCTGGTCACGGTGCCGCAGTGCCTCGAGATACTGGTGAGGCGCGAGGGGAGGTTTGACGGGCTGCGGCAGGCAGGGGCAAACCTAGCTGACTGCAGCAGTGCATCGAAACCGTTGTGGACGAAAGCTGTACCAGCACTCCCTGCCGCAGCCTGGGCCTCAGGCATCATCCCCGCTGCTACTTTGCGCCTGCCGTAAACACTGGACTTTGCCCCGTGGCACTCTCGTTCGCGAGCCTGGTGCCCTGCGACCATCTCACCAAGGCCGCCGGCGCGCCTCCACACGCCTTGTCAGGTGCTGTCCCCAGCCAACCCCGATTGGATTGAGTCCATCAAGGCCGCGGTGAGGGGGCGGGGGGGCTTCCAGGCAAGACGTTGCCGGCAGCATGAATGGAAACGAGGCGGGGATTATCAAGGGGTGACGCAACAGCCATGGATTCCGGGTTGCCACGCACCCCCGTTTGGATGACTGCCAATGCATCGGGACCTGCTGTATCTGCCGAAACCCCTCACTGCTGCGCGGCCCCTGGACTGCCGTGTGTGAAATCACACGCGGCCCCGCTGCCCCCAGATCTTTGATGAGGTGCACTGCATATCAGAAAACGACGGCGGCGACGTGTGGGAGCGCCTCCTGCTCTGCCTGCGCTGCCCCATCCTGGCGCTGTCGGCGACGGTCGGCAACCCCCAGGAGTTTGCGGCCTGGCTGCAGCGCGTCAAGGCGCTGCAGTGGCGCCAGGACGGCGCGCCCTGCGCCGTCGCCCCCGCGTCCGCTGGAGCGCAGCACGAGCGCCGCGGCGGCGTAGGGCGCGAGCACCCGCGTGCCGCGCCGCCGCAGGCTCTCTGCTCGGATCAGGTCGCGGAAACTGGTCGTGGCGCGCGTGATCTGGGCGATGAGGTGATGCCGCCGTCCTACCGCGTCGATCTCATCCTCCACGAGGAGCGCTACAACGATCTGCTGCACAGCACCTTCCTGCCGCACCCCCAGACCAACCCCGCAGCGCGCAGCGCAGCGGCGGCCGTGGCGGGCGATGTGGATGACGAGGATGAGGACGCGGACGAGGGTGGGGGCGTGGAGCTGCTGGCTGGGGGCGGCGGTGGCCGCGGAGGGGAGCCGGCAGCAGCGGCTGCAAGCCCAGGGGCAGCGGCGGGCCAGCCCGCGGCGGGTCAGGAGCGGCCGCTGCAGCCGGTGTGGACCGTGGGGGCCGGCGGCGGCAGCTGCGGCGGCGAGGGAAAGCACGGGCGCCTGCTGCGGCTCCACCCAGCCGGCAGTGTCAGCGCGGAGCACCTGGCGCGCGCGGGGTGGCCCAAGGGGCTGGCCCTGAGCCCTGATGAGGCCCTGGCTCTGTTTGACGCAATGGACGCGGAGCTGGCGGCCGCAGCGGCAGACGAAGAGGCAGATCCGGGGGCGCTGCAGCGGGAGCAGCAGGAGAGGCAGCAGCAGCACCAGCCTGCAACAGCGGCAGAGGACGGCGGCGGCGCCGCGGCCGGCGCTGCGGTCGGCAGTGCCGCCCTTTGTGTTGCAGCGAGGGCGGCGTGGCTGACAGATGCCCGCGCGGCGCTGGACGGCTGCACTGTGGAGGGCATTGTTGCGGCCCCTGGTGGCGCGACCCCGGGCGACCCGCCGCGGCGCGGGCATGGTCAGGAGCAGCCGGCGGCGCCGGCCGCGCTGATCACGCGCCAGGCCGCCAAGCGCTGGGCGGGGCGGCTGGTTGAGCTGCTGGTGTCGTGGGCCAGGCAGGGGCAGCAGGAGCAGCGGCAGCAGCAGGGGCACGGCGGGCTGCTCGGGCCCGAGGTGGTGTCTCGCGTGCTGCGGCGCCTGGGGCGGGGCGCGGAGGAGGCGACAGCGCAGCACGCCGCAGAGTGGGAGGCGGCCAACCCGCGGCTGCCCTTGAACGCCAGGTGGGCTTGGAGGGCAGCCTGCTGCACCGAAATTGCACAGAGCTCATCCACCAGATCTGCCTCTGCGTGCCGCACGCGCGGCGCTGGTCCCTCTGCCTCTGTGCTGGGTCTCTGCGTGCGGCACGTGCGCACCAGTGCCTGAGGGCCGTGCACTGGCGGCTTGGTTGCTGAGTTTGACCGTGGGTGCGTGCCCCTGCTGCATGCTGATCCTGGGTGTGGTACGGTGCAGGTCCATGCGATGAAGGACGGCCGCTTCAAGCTTAGGGCCTTGCTCCGCTCGGGCCTCATGGCACGCGCCCCGCCCCTCGCTACAAAAGCACAACCCTCGCTCCCGCCATTGGCCCTGGCCACCCCCTGCCTGCCGCAGCTCCTACCAGCTGCTCAACCTGATGCCGCTGCTGCGGGAGCTGAGGGAGCGCGCACTGATGCCGACCATTGTGTTCCAGTTCCAACGGTGGGGCTGATGGACTCCTCTAGGGACAAATAGACCCGCGGCTCAATCGGCCATTAAGCTGTGCGCCGTCTGGGCGCGCCTTTGCCTGCTGCTGGCTCACGCCGCGCCCTCCTGTGTGAATGCACTTATCAAAGCTTCCTTAATGCGTGCACCTGCCCGTCTTCCGCCTCCGACACCTGACTCCTGATCACGTGCCCTGTCCACCGACTGTCGCTGTAACGCCACAGGTCCATGTGTGAGGCGTTTGTGTCGTCCACGGTGGCGCTGCTGGAGGAAGAGGAGGCACACGCACGCAGGAGGCACGCGGGGCTGAGCATTGACTGGCGCGGGGGGCAGTGCGTTGATGAGACTCATTTGACGGACAGGGTGCAAGCGCCGGCCCTGTGCAGCACGCAGCAGCCCTGCATGCTGGCTCGGCCACCTCTGGCTCAGTTCTGCATGTATGACTATAACCTGGACCTTTATTTGCCCGCCACGTCCTTTCTGAAGCCGTCAGCATTGCCTGTACATGCCCCCTCCACCCCGCTCCCTCCGCGCCCCCTCCCCCAGGTACGCGAGGGAGCTTGCCAACAAGCGCCGCGACGCAGAGCGCGCTCGCGAGGCGGCCGAGGCCCTCGCCAGGGCGCGCGAGTCCGAGGCGCACGCCAAACGCAGGGGCGGCGCCCGCGACGAGGAGGGGCAGGGCGCGGCCGAGGGGGCGGGGCCGCCGGGAGGGGCGGCGGCGGCGACGTTCGCAATCGACGGCATAGTGTTTGCTGCGGAGGAGCTGGATGATGCGGGGCGCGAGGTGCCGGACCCTTCCTTCACGTTTCATGCGCCAGACAAGGCTGCGAGCGAGGTGTGTGCGCGGGGTCGAGCTTGCTGTGACAGGAAGTGCGCAGCAGTGTGAAAGAGGGGCGTACCGCAGAAGTTGGCTATGTACGGACTGAACCAGCTGCCAGCAGGGCAGGATGGGGATGCCCCACGATCCAGCGCCGCCTGCAGTTTGGCATGCATGCTCCAATCCTCAGCTGTTGCCCGTGTCCATTGGGGTACCCCAGGTGCTGCTGCACACCGTGGAGGACCTGCGGTCACAGGGCTGTGAGGAGGACCTGCTGAGGGGGCTTATGCGCGGCGTTGCGGTGCGTGGGGCAGGGGAGTGCAGCGACCAGAGGGACGTCAAGACCGTGCGGCGGCGCGCCTCCACATCCTGGCCGCCTACTGCCAGGGTGGAGCCCCTGCTTTTGGTGGATACATAGGCGCACGTCAATCGTGTGATCGCGTTATTGTGCAAGGTTTTGTGGTGCCTAGCAGACCAGGGTGGACCACCCGCCCAACCGCTTGTTGAGTTGCCGACCGACCGGCCGACCGACCCTGTATGCTTTAGCTGAGGCTTTGTCCACCCCTCCTCTCCCCTCCTCTCCCCTCGGCCCCAGGCCCACCATGGTGGCCTGGACACCAAGTACCGCCAGGCAGTGGAGATGCTCTTCAGGTCAAAGCACCTCGCGGCGAGGCCGCACACCAGGCCGCCCAATAGCTTGATGCACAGGGGCTGGCGGCCGCCCAGGGGTGCGGCGACGGTGCAGCTATCATGGGATGGATGGAAGGTGTCGAAAATGTTTGAAACCCGGCCGTTTCCTTGCATGCGTATCAGCTAAGACCGACCTGAGTTGGCTTTGGCGGTGGATGCTTGCACTTAAAAATTGACGCGCAGGTGGTGGCGGCCACGGGCACCCTGGCGTACGGCATCCACATGCCCTGCCGGGCCGTGGTCATGGCGGGCGACAGGTGGGGCACAACGGGCACCTCTCTTGTTGGGGGTCACCAGCGGGGTGGCCACTCTCCCCAGTCAGTCTTGGGATGGGCACACGCAGAAGAAACCACTTGCCCTGCCGCCCCGTCTCGCAGCATGCAGCGCTCTTTTGAGTGGCCACAGCTTCAAACCCAAAAGCAGCCGCGGGCCTGCCCCACTGGGTCCCTCCACCCCCCTGCCCCGCCACTGCCCGCGCGCAGCCCCTTCCTGGACGCGCTCAACTACGCCCAGATGAGCGGCCGCAGCGGGCGCCGGGGCCTGGACCCAAAGGGCCACGTGGTGCACTACGCCCTGCCCCTGGACAGGGTGCACGCACTCAGGCGCGCAGCGTGCGGATGGGACGGGAGCGGGGCCACGCAATACACAGACCAGTCCAGGCGGTGACGCGGGCGCTTGCCCAAGGGCTTGCAGGAGGAGGTGCATCAATCGACTGCCGCGCTCTGCTCATCACCAAAACATGGCAGCCATCCCCCTCATCTGAGTCGTCCTGACCTTTTTGCAGCACCACTCATCCGCCGTGATTGCCAACGCCAGTCCAAACCAACCGCTTCCAATCTTCGCCTACCGCTCCCCAGGGTTTCCGAGCTGCCACGTCTGCGCGGGCAGTTCCTGCTCACCCCCACCCTGGTCCTGCGCATGCTCCTGCTGCACCGCCAGCTGTCAGACGACCTGGCAGCCAGGGTAGGAGGCGGCGCCGGCGGCACTGGCGGCCAGCCGCAAGCCGCGCCCGCGGCGCGCCAGCTGGGCCCCGCCGCGCGCGCCGCCGAGGCGTCGCTGCTGGCCGCGCGCAGGAGCCTGCTAGCCCTGGTGGAGGAGCCGTTCCTGGGGGCCAGTGACCCGGGGGTGGCGGGGCGGCAGAGGGTGGCGTTTGAGTTTGCTCTGGACTACCTCAAGGTGAGGCGGATCAAAGGATGCTGGACTGTGGATGCAGTGGGCTCAGTCCATCTAGAGTCCAGCCACCCGTGAGGATTAAAAGCAAGCAGTTGCTGATTGACCGCACTGCAAACCTGGCTGCGGCGCTGCCGTTGTGCGGTCTTGAAACATTCTTCTCGCTAGTTCACAGCTCTGAGACATGTCGCTGCTGCTGTGCGCCGCCAACTTGGCAATGTCAGCACCGCAATGCTGTTTTTCTAGCGCACTCACACGCACACTCCTCCTCGCCAGACCTCCAACCTGTTGAACACCTCGGGCGCGCCCGTGGGCTTCGCCGGGCTGGCCACTCACATCTTCTGGTGCGCTGGTGCTGGCCTGTACCTCACGGGCAATCAACGCATTGGCGCTCAAGATTGTGCCACACATTAGCAACCTGACCTTCCCTGCCTGTGCTTGCTTCTAAACACGGCCTGACATTCTTTGACCAGCAATATTGACTAGATTCGCCGCTCAACGTCAACCCATTGTGGCGGCCTCATGATCCCCTCTTCAACAGGACCGAGCCGTCCAACTTTCTGGTGGGCCGCCTGCTGGCGTCAGGCGCCTTCCACGACCTGGCGGCCGCCAACGAGTCGGCCGCGGGGCGCCAAGAGGCGTTCCTGCTGGTGCTGTGCCACGCGTTCCTGCGGCAGCGGCTGCATCCCATGGCCGTCGCGCACTGGCGGCGCCACAAGGCGGACACGCCCTCCCTCGTGAGCCTTGGCCGGGTGCTGGCTGATGTGGTGGCACGACTCAGCTTGCTGCTCAGTCCAGTCCGGGAGCTGTTTTCTGGGCACTGTTCAAAGATGCAGTCACCCAGCAGCAGGTTCTGAGCATGAGCAGCACCTGCTCGACGCACCATCCCCACAACACCCGCCTTGAAATATCTGACCTGACGTCGGCCAGTTGTACAGTTGAACACTCTGGCAACACCTGGCAAACATACGCCCAAACCCCAGGTGATCCTACCGTCCCTGCCGGCCCCTGCGAGGGCGGCGGTGGAGCAGCACGAGGCCGGGGCACTGCAGCTCCTCACACGCGCCCTGGCCGCACGCCTGCGCGCCGCGCACATGGCGGCCTCGGCGGCAGCGGCGGCGACGCCGCAGCCCGGCGTGCAGAGGCAGCAGCACGAGCTGCCTGTGTCCGGCCTGCGCTACAAGGCGGCCGCCGGCGCGCCGTGGGTGGTGCAACAGGCGACTTCGAAGTGCGGCCAGCTGGGCGCGTGGCGGGTGCCGTCCTCTGTGTGCAGCCCCTTCGCGGGGCTCCCAGGCGGCGGCGACGAGTTTGGCTCCGCGGCTGAGCTGCTGGAGCATGTCCCGCAGGGCGCCGCGCCCGAGGCGGCGGCGCTGCCGCTGCTCGGGGCGGCCGCCGGCGGCGGCGGGGAGCTCAACGCGTGAGTCCATGTTTGCGCAGGTGGCGGTACGCGTGCAGTTGCCTGAAACTTCGGGATCCTGCACACCTTCGCTTTATGTGCGTGGGCACAATAAAAGGTGGGTGCATCCAACAGTGAGTGCAGTCCTGGCTCTCTCCAACGTGCCGTGGACTTTGCACCCCCTTTCCCAGGTACATCCTGGATTACTACAAGCACGTCTCCAAGCGCGCCCTCGTGCGCGCGAACGGCATGCTGGAGGGCGACGCGTGGCAGGTGCGCGGTCGTTCCAGCCAGGAGAGAGCGCTCTCAGGTCTGCTGCCCTGGCCCCGCTGTTCAGTGGTCCCTGCGCGCACGTGGGCCGTAAGCTTCGCGACCAGCGGCCGCACTCAGTGAGAGAGGCACTTTTGTATTCTGTTGGCTGCATTGAAATCGTTCTTCCAGCCAAGCCCACCCACGGACTATCACTCCCAAAGGCGTTGAGGCAACAAGAACGCGGCACACCACCACCCTGCTACCCCGCAGTCCCTCAAGTCACTGGAAGGCATCCTGCACGCGTGCGTGCACTGCCTGGAGGCCTGCCAGGCCGACGACAGCGATGGCAGTGGCGGCGATTATGATGATGACGATGACGATGACAACGGTGCTGTTGTGAGGGGCCCAAAGCCCTCTGGCGGCGGGGTGGCGTCCACACCAGAGCACGCCTCTCTGGATGCGCAGGTGGTGGCCACGTTCAAGGGCCTTGCGGCGGAGTTCAGGGAGAAGTTTTCGAGGTTCAACGCGCCGTCAGGGGGACGGCGCACCTGACGTGCAGTGGTGAGGCGCGCGGACAATCAGGGGCGAGCTGGCTCGGGGCGCACGGGCGCCGGGGCTGCTGATGGGTGGTTGCAATGAGATGGTGCCCTGACGCCCTGCCCTGCGAGTGCAGCGTGGGCGGAAGGAGGGGGGCGTGACCTTTGGAACTGAGGAGCCTGCTCCGCCACCCTCAAATTGCCTGCCAGGGTCGCAGTCTTGGTGCAGTTGAGGTGCGCGGACGCAGGCAGCTAGGCATTTGCTATAGTGTGCTGCCGCATGCATGCCTGCAATCAAGTTGTCATTGAAACGCAACTGAATTAGTGCATGTAACCTAATGTTACTTGAGTGCGGATGCCATGGGGTCAAGTATCTCGACGTCGGCACGGCGGGTAAGTGCAAGGAGTGCAGCCAGTGCAGCCAGCAAGACTCGCACAGGCAGTGCGCCGCCGCAACCGTGCGAGTCACTCGGGTGACACCGAGCGATTGAGGCGCAATCCTTCAGAATCATGGATCCCCAGTGTGTTGGATATTCCCGAGATCCTCGTAATACAGTATAACGTGCACCGACCCTTGCGGCCTAGCTTGACGCGCTGCGACTCGGTTTTGGGACTCCCGTCTTGCATTACCGGTAATGCAGCAGTGACACTGCGTGGGTATGTATACGTCTTCAAAACGGTGGCTAGCCACGCTTCTAATGGGTGAGCAGCTCGATCAGCATGCATGCATGCATGCACCGCACAGCTGAACAGCTGCTCATCCACCTGGATGGTGACGTGCTCCACCCGTCATGGCATACGGTATCGCACGTTTGAACAGACACTCGCGTCTTGTGTGTGTGATTTGTGCTAATTCAAGTAGGTCAATGTGTCAGCTTGGTCGAGGTGTCATGCTCTTGGCACAATAGAGCCGCCCCCCCACCCGTGTCTCGTCACGACCCAGGCGCAGCATTCGCTGCGGCCTGCTGCTGCCGGCAGGCGGCCAGCGTGCCTCAGATAGCACCTGATGGCGGCAGTGCCAAGCAAGTAATGCAAGAGCCTGGGTGCCGTCCTGATGGGCCAGGGATCCCTGACGCGGGCTCAGTGATGATGGGACTGGACCTGCAGCCTGACACTACAGGTGGTGAGCTGCAATGGGGGGCTGGAATGCGCGCCGCTGCGCCTGCAACTGGTCTGGCATACAGTGCGCATTCGTTTGAGACTAGGCCTGCAGCGCTGCGAGTGCGCACAACCACTGCACCCTTCAACCGAGCTCTGTTATAACCCATTGTCATTGCAGTACTGCGCTTTTGTGTATCGTGGAACGCCACTGACCAAACTCACATCGGCACCGACACGTATGGCAGCATTCGACGGCCGGCATGTGGAGTGGTGACGGGCAGCGGCCCGCTGATGCTGAACAGGGCGGCTGTGTTGGTGGGTCCTACAGAAGCAGGCGGGTGCTAAGCCGCCGCCGCTGCCGCCGCCGCCGCCGCCGCCGCAGCAGCAGCAGCAGCAGCAGCAGCAGCAGTAGCAGCAGCAGCAGCGGCCAGTCCTGTATTTGACACCAGCCCCCGGATGCGCATACCAGGCGGAAGCTGCACCTGGTAGCAATGTCCGCCACCCGCAGCGGCTGCTGAATGCCAAGTGCCCATACCTGTGTGTTTGCAGACGGCTGCAGCAGACTGCTAGATAGCAATTGTGTTTGCATCGTATTCCACCCACTTCAGGGGACGTGGTCAAACGTAGGCCTGACTGCCATGGTGCTGAAGGCGGCTTGCCACGCAGCCGAGGTCTTGTTGGGCCAGCAGCCCTCATCAGAGAGCGCCTGCCCAGTGATACAGCACATTGTCATTGCAGTAAGCTGGAACTTTGGCGGGAGTTTGCCAGGTTGGGAGGGTTCATGTGACATAGCTACCTCCCTTGTCAGATAAAGGTTGAAAGGTTTCTTCCTTTGACCTTTTGACACACCGCTGCAAACTAGGTGCCTGCAGATACTGTGGACGCCCAGGTGGCGGCGCTGAGGCGGGCAGGGGACATGGCAGGTGTGCGCATATGCATTGACATAACATGCGTTGTTTTTTTGTACACCTCCGCTGGCCGCAAGGCCTAGAACGTTCTAGGTTAACCTTTCTTTTCTGCACAACGCCGCGGCTGCGCTCAAGCCAACACAGCTCCTCGCCACCCTGCGCCATGCCCCCCAGGCCTGCGTGTGGTGAGACTGATCACCAGGGCGACCGCTGTGGCCCTGGCCTACCAGAACACCACTGAGGTCATCCACCAGCGGCCTCTCAGCCCCAGCGAAATGATGTTGCTGGTCGTGGAGCTCAGCCCGGGCTTCATGGGCATCACACTGCTGGCTTACAGCGGCGGTGGGCAAAACCAGCTGCAGCACAACTGCTGGCATTCACAGCCTGGCAACAAAGGGTCCCCTGTTGGCATCAAGGAATACATTTTCTGCATCGGTATGATTTGCACAGCTGGGACTAGGTCCGGCCAGTGGGCACCATCAGGTGGATGCTTCAATTAATTGTTAGATTTCACCTGCCCCGCTCCGTCCGGCATCCAACCCATTGCAGGTGCCTATGAAGTCATCACCCAGTCCATCGACCCCAATTTCAAGACCAGCGTGACGGACAGGGCTGAGACAACCAGAACCGTAGGCGGCAATGACAGCGACGGCGGCAGCGCAGAGAATGTCGGTGGGGATGCCGCCAACTTGCTGGAAGACAGGGTCATCAGCACATTGGTCAAGGTGACTGGGCGCGGTTGGTAAGGGAGGTTGGTTGATTACTGCTGTGTTGAATGGGAATCACAACTACCCAACCTAGTTATGGTAGGTTTGAGGTTCCAAGGTCCTAGCTGGGAAGCCGTGCCGTGGGCCAAAGCGTCTGCCATAGGCCTGATCTAAGGCACGATATATGAGCATAGCTCAATGGGCACGCCAGGCACCTGAGAGCTCCAGCATTCTGGCATTGGCGCAGCTTGAGTGACCGTACAATCCCATCACCCCATAATTGCAGATGCTGGGTTATGCCCTGGTTGCAAAAGATGACATCAACGCAGTCATCCTGGTTGGGAGCTCGGTCGATAACCCTCAACTCGAGATCGCCTTCCAGACACTTTTTGGGCGGCTCAAGATCCTCAGAGGCATCGCGGCCTCGGGCGCGTTAAGCATGGGGGTGGCGTAGACGCCGCCGATGGTGCCTGGGCGGCCGCGGCGGGGCATCCCAGCCGCGGAGGCTGTTGCGCAGGGCGCAGCAATGGTGCGAAGCCCTGGGCGGCATCTGCTTGCCTTCTGTCCTGCCAGAACAGGCGCCCACAACAGCATTCGGTCCATACAGATTCTCAACCATCATCGTTGCTTAATGTCAGCACTTTCGCCCCAATGCTTCCTGAATTTTGTCTTTTGACTCTGCCTGCTGCCTTGTGTATGTAGGCCCCACGCATCTGCACTGCTGCTTGACGTCAATCCGTGCATGTCACCCTGTCGCATGTCGATGCTCAGTGCGGCGCCCTGATGGCGAGGCCGGCACCGCCTGACCTGCGCTGAGCTTCACGACTGGGGCTGCTTGTGGACGGAGAAAGCTAGGATGCATGCACGCAAATACTTGTGTGCGTATGCATGTGCGTGAGCATCCGCATACGCATCGGCAAGCGCGCTTGCGGGCTTTGACTGTCACCTTGATTTGACGGTTTGCGACTGGACGAAATCCAAACTACTCAAATCAATCACAATTTTTCAATGTTACAAGCATACATGTAATGTTTTTGGTATTGACCTGGCAATAAAGGTGGCATACATCAAGCGCTGCTCACTTGAAGAGCGCAGTCAGCAGGCGCGGTCCCCAGGACCATGCAGCTGCCAGGCAGAGCATCAGGGCGCAGGGCGATGTCAGCAGCCCCGGCAGCAGTGCCCCGCGCCGCAGCCGCCTTGCTAGTTGGTCCACCTAGTTCAGGGTGTTGGTGGACCCATCCAGCTGTTGGTCAGGCGTGGTCCTATTTTCTACGCGCAACTGCAAGACACCGGCACAACGACGGTGCTATTGCAGCAGCATCGATGCAACAATAAGGTCGCGGTCCACCACCAAGCATTCATGCCAGGGTCGAATGCAAGGCCAAGGGTGCCCGTGTCTGCTGTCCTATGCACCGCGTCAAAGGCCGCGCCACCGTCCGCCCACCTGCCGCTCCAGGGCCTCCAGGGAGCCGTTGTTGTCCAGCACCACGTCAGCCAGCCGGGCCTTGGCCTCGAGGGGCATCTGTGCCGCCATCCGCGCACGCGCATCCGCCTCGCTGCTGCCGTCGCGCTCCTTCAGACGTCGCAGCTGCGGGCGCGCGCGAGGCCACGCGGGCAAGCGCGCCTCAAGAGGGCCGCACCTTATTCCAACTGTTGAATGCTTCAGGCCCGGCTAACACGCATGCAGCCTTTGTCACAAACATGTTCCAGGCTAAGCGCCACGTGTCCATGGCCGACCACGCGTCTAAGCCCCCTCTCCCTGCCCTGCACCCTCCACCTGATGGTCGGGGTCTGCCGCCACCAGGACCCGCGGGCGAGTCAGCTTGTGGCTGCCTGTCTCAAACAGCAGCGGCATGTCCATCACCTGCGTAAGCGCGAGGGGCACAGTTGGGTGTGGACAAGGTCAGCGTGCGGGGAATAAGGCAGCAGCGGTGCTGCAATGCCCCTTGTGTGTGGGGGGAGCTTGGCTCAGGTCGATTTGGGGGCCAGAGAGGACAGCCGGCTGGCTGGCTTGCGGAGCAGCCTTTACTAGAGGTCACAGCTTTGGGCAGTCGTCAGCGCTTGTGCAGCCATTGAACACCTTCCCCTCCTGGTGCGCACCACAACCAGCCGCATGCGCAGCCAGCAAGAAATCAGCTGTCGCACGATCTCCATCGCCACGGGCAGGTGCGTGGCGGCGTTGAGGCGGCGGCGCCCAGCATCGTCGATGAAGACCAGCCTGGCAATCATCTCCCTGTCCAGCTCGCCTGCCCAGGGGACAGGTGGCAGGTGGCAGGTTTGAGTCCAAAGTGTGTATGGGCTGGGTCAAGTGTGATGATTCTAAAAGACGAAAAGAGGCGGAGGGAGGTGTGCACCCTGGGGGAAGGGGCTGCTACTTCTGCCCGGCGAGACAACACAACGCGTGGGCATGCGGCTGGCCAACATGTATGGTACCCGAGGGTGCAGCAGTCAAGTCACCATCACATACAGTAAATTCACCATATTGCCCCAAGATGTCGCTGCCGAAGGCCGCCACGACTCGCCGGTAGCCCCATCTGCCCTGGAATTGCGCACACGCAAGGCGGTGTGTGCAGATGTAGAGCACCGTGCTGGTTCTGCGCTGCAAGCCCCACCTCACAGTCCCCTCATTGGCAAGCCACCCCAATCATCACCTTGGCGCAGACGTCGTGGGCGATCTTATCGCAGTCGATGAGCGGCAGCCCGTGGCGCTGCAGCGCCGAGGACACTGTGCTCTTTCCGCACGCGATCCCGCCAGTCAGGCCAACGATCCGCATTGCTTGGCCTCCTGTGCCGCGGCACCGCCTTCCAAGCAGGTTGTGATGGTGGTGATAGCGCTTGCCCTGCCCATGCGTCGAGGTTGAGCGCGCAGCTGGGTGCAGCACGGGCAGGCTTGGTGTGCGTCAGCAGCGCTTTGCTCTGGACAGTGGGCGACACCGTCAGCTATGGTGTGCATACAGTCACCTGACGCATTGACATAAACGTATGCAAAATGCATAGCGTACAACCTGGATCTAACGGGTATACTTCAATTCCATGCGTGCCTCTCGATTAGTACAGATGATGTATGTGAAGAGACGCATGATCTGATCACCCGCCGAGCTTATTCAATTATTCCCATTGCACCACGAGCAAAGCGTTCGCCCTAGGCTGAGCCTGAAGTGTCCGCAGGAGGGCACGCCCGTGCTTTGTGCTGATCAGGCTCGCTTTGCACCCTCAGGGCTCGTTTTGAATAGGCAGTCACAACAGATAGTAGTGAGCAGCGATGTTCAACTTCTATGAGCCCATGATGGGGGGCCACTTCGAGGCGACCTATCGGGCGTTCCCGCTCGCCTTCATCGACAAGCAGAGCGCCGAGTACGGCGACAAAGTGATCCTTCCACCCTCAGCGCTCGACCGGCTGGGTGAGCCGCGGCAGGGGCGTCACCGCTGCGTGGGTGCTACCGCTGCTCGCTGCATCCATGCAGCGGGGAGGATGCAAGCCGTTCGTTCGCAGCTGCTGCAAGGGCGGTTCCTCTGGGAGGTGTGTTACAAGCACCACAGCAGCTGATCATTCCTGCAAGAAGCTGGGCGGCGACAATTGCGCTATGGACGACGAGTGTCACCATCCGCATCGTTCCTCGGCCCTCAACCCCATTCCCGTTACCCTCGCCTCCACCATGGCGCGCGCACCTTTGCAGCGTCCCTGCACATTGAGTACCCCATGCTGTTCAAGGTGGAGAATGGTGCCACGGGACGCTTCACACATTGTGGCGTGCTGGAGTTCATTGCGCAGGAAGGCCATGTCTACCTGCCGCGCTGGGTGAGCGGCATGTAGCTGGTGTATGTGTGTCGGCTGGATGCGGTGGTGCGAGCAAGGCAAGCGGATTGTTGTCAGACGGCACGAGCGCAGTGGCTGGCGCGCCACTGGCAGCGGTGTCAATTGCGCTTGATTGCGCTCACGGCATATCAAGCCGTCATGCACGCCCGATTGCAAGGTCTCTGGCCGGCCAGGGACCCAGCCAGGGAACCTGTACCCAGAAAACTTTGTGCTTAAGGTGGAATTACAAAAACGCAATGGCAGTGAATTCGGCGGCGGAGGGGCACCGACGACAGGTGATGCAGTCGCCAGTCGAACTTCCGCGCACGTTGGTGCACAACCCTGTGTGCATGCACGCACGCACGCCCCACGCAAGCCGTGCGCTCGCCCCCCTTCAACAGATGATGCAGAACCTGCTTTTGACGGAGGGCCAGGCCGTCAAGTTCCGCAACATCTCCCTGCCCAAGGGCTCCTACGTGAAGCTGCAGCCTGTGACCTCCGACTTCCTTGACATCTCAAACCCCAAAGCCGTGCTGGAGCGCACCCTACGCAGCTACAGCTGCCTCACGGTCAATGACTGTTTCGTGTTCCACTACAACAACAAGGTCTGCGGTTGTGGGGTGGGGTGGCGTGGGGTGTGGTGGGATGACCTGGGTTAGAGGTGGACCAGGTCGACCTATCCTGCAGCCGTGCAGGGACGAGGCGGCAGGGCGTCCAAAATGTCACATCTCAAGGTCCTGCCGACAAGGACAGGGACAGCCTCTGTTTGCGGCTCTGCTTGTCCTGGGGCTACGACCTTGCGCAGTTTCAACCAATCACTGCCTGGTTTTTGGACCCCTCCTCTTGTGTTCCTTCCCTCGTCCAACCTGCCAGGACTACGAAATTGAGGTGCGCGAGGCCAAACCTGCCGAAGCCATCTCCATTATCGAGACAGACTGCCAGGTGAGGGGCAGGGAGGCTGGGTGAGCCTGAACACACATTCAGCCTTGCAAGTATGAGGGTGGGAGCAAGCGATATGGGATGGGAGAGCACAGAGTGGGCTACGAGCAACCCCACACACGGTGAACCAAATTACACTACACGTGTATTGTGTGTGTGTGTGTGTGTGTGTGTGCACGTGTGTGTGCGTGTGCGTGCGCGTGCGCGTGCGCGTGCGCGCGCGCGTGTGAGCCTTTGCGCAAGCGCACAAACAGAGCCCCACATGCACAGGCTGCCATGGCTCCGCATGCACGGGCTGCTAAGAGGCTATTCAAATATTTTTCACAACTCCAGCCTTGCACCGGGCCCTGCCCCCATGCAGGTGGAGTTTGAGGCACCCAAGGACTACAAGGAGCCGCAGCGCGTGCCCCCACCCGCCCCCGCCCCACAACCCGCTCCCGCTGCTGCCGCCGGCCCCGCGCCTGAGGAGGAGCAGGAGCAGCAGCCTGCGTTCACGGCGTTTGTGGGCCAGGGGCGGCGGCTCGACGGTAAGGCGGCCAGCAGCTCTCCCTCACCCGCGGGAGGCCCGGCGGCGGCCGCTGCCGCGCGGGCGGCCGCTGCTGGAGCAGCAGCGGGTGCGAGCACAAGCGGCGGCGGCAGCAAGCCAGCCGGCGGGACCGGTAGCAGCGGGGGTGACGGCGGGCCGCGGTCCAAGGCAGGGACGTTTGTGAGCACGGGCAACCGCCTGCTGGACAAGCTGCAGCGGGAAAAGGTGGGGGGCAGGATGGGGGATGCGCAGCAGGGATTATCTTTGGGGCGCTGCAGGCTCTGAGGACCCAACGGCTTGCGCTTTGATGGTGGAAGGGCCTATGCGTGTGCGGCAGGTCCATGTACTGGGCGTGGCCCAGTGCATCCAGCACGTGCACCTCCTGCTCGAACGCCCGCTTGCAGTTGCAGCAGCAAGGCGGCGCGCCGGCCCCTGCGGCGCCCGCGGCTGCTCCGGCTGAGGAGCCCAAGGAGCCGGAAGCCCCCAAGTTTCAGGCCTTCAAGGGCAAGGGCTACTCACTGAAGGGATGACCAGTGGCGAAGGACGTCTGGAGGGCTTCAGCGGCTAGAGTAGGATAGTAGCAGAGGGGCAGCTTGCTCCACACGCTCGTGGGGCGTGGTCGCATCAGCAGCCGCATTCGACTGCTGGTAGCGTTGTTGCACGCTACGCATCGCCATCGCACGTATCACAGAGAGGTCCCTGACGACGGGCTGTTGTAACCAGTAGTGGCAGTCATCTCACGGTTGGCGGCGTGCATAGTCCCAAACAGCAGCAACACAATGCCACGGCAAAGTACGGGGCCGCCTCACTAAATCGCTCTCAACAGAAAAACTTGGTTGCGCCGAAGTGCCGGCCGTGTTCACAGGTGTGGTGCTGATCTTGTCTTGGTGCCCACCACTGCATCATTTGCTGCACCTGGGCCTCAACCGCCAATCGGCACCAGCCAGTGGAGATGCTGCCTGTTCAGCGCTTGGCGGAAATGCAGCTTGGCACGGTGGCAGCGCTTCCAAGCACGGCCTACAGCACGTGCACCTGTCTTGCGTAAAGGGCAGGAGGATGGTGGGGCTGCCACACGCGTGTTTGATGCGTTTTGACTGGCTGCAGTCACCCTTCTTGCTGCACTGCGACAAGTGCGATTGTGCTGTGTGCTTTTTCTCGGCTTTCCAGAGACCTTCGCTCCTTCAGGTCGCGCCCAGCTGCAGGAGCCATATCTCAACATTGCCAGCGCTGTGCAACAGAAGTAGACATGCTTCAATTGCACATCTGCGCGCCATCGGCGAGTCTGCCTGCGACTATGCTCTCAATCTCAAGACGACAACACAGCGTCAAGCCTTGTGATTACAGGGGAGGATTGCATCCATGGCGCAGACACCAGCCGAAATGACGTGTACTGTACAAGCTCCAAGCTTTACAGCCGGCGCTGCGCAACAGTACAGCAAAGCGCGAATTGCCTGCACCCTCATCATGATGGTGCGCACGCTGCTTGGTCAGTGGAAACGAAAAGTGGCGGGACAGACCACAAACAAACGTAGGACGCGGCACAGGGTGCAGGGGCCCCGGCGGCCAACTCATGGGAGTTGACGCAGCATGCGGACCAAAACATCACACCAGCACGGCGACTGCATTTGCCAAAGCCAGCGGCTTGAAGCCCAGGGCGTGCGTTCCCCAACAACTCGAAAAAAGAGAGGCGACAGCCAACAGCCAAGCGCAGCACCTTACAGCCTGCTGCCCCAGCGCTGCTCCATGTGCAAAACACCACCGGCCACCACTGAAAGCATTGACTTGAGTGTGCAGCACCGCCCGCACATCACATGTATGGGATGCGCGGATCAACCGTGGGCTCTGCCAGCAGCGCCTCAGCGTCGATGTAGGCCGGAAGCCCCTTACCCACCTGGCCGCCGTGCACAAACGAGTCGCCAAACACAAAGTATATGCCGCTGAACAGCAGGGAGATGGCGAGGATGAAGGGCGCGAATGCCAGAAAGACGCTGCCGCCCAGCTGCAGCAGCTGTGAAGCGCGGGGGATGAGGCCCTCCAGGCCCTCATTGACCATCGCGATAGAGCGCTCGCGCTGCCCAGACTCGCGGTCCACGTCTCCGGAGGATGGCCCCTCCCGGCTGCGGCTGCCAGGGATTGAGCCGCGAGGCGTCGGCTGCTGGAAGGGATTGCTGCTTTGGCTGCTGCTGCTGCTGCCGGTACGGTTGCGGGAGGATGTGGTGCCGGCGGGGCTCGATGACGTCACGCCGCCGCCGTTGAGCCCTCGCCGAGCAATCTCGTCCTTGAACAGGTCTTCATACGACCGCTCTGCATGGGTTGGTAGTTCAGGAGGGTACAATGCTGTCAACAAGGGGGAGGAGGGCGGGCTTTCGTGCCTGTGGAGGCGAAATTCCATGACCTGCGCCTGCAAGCGTGTGCCGCTGGCAGGAGGCAGCGATGTGAAGCCGGGCGAGTGGCGGCATGTCGATTGCCGCGGATACACCGCTCTACGCCTGCAGGCGCGCCCAATTTTCCTGGCCCGTACAGAAGGTTGCCAATTACAAATCGCTGGTCTCACGGCCTCACGCCACCGCTCGCGCCCCACACTGCATGCGCGCCACGTGCGTCCTACACATCGCCAAGATCCATTCACGCCGCGCACGCCAAGCTGCGGCTCAGCTTCGGGTACCAACGAACGGCAAAAGCGTACCTGAAGCGCCCGGTTCGTCGTCCTTGTGAGCCCTGGCTCGTGCAAAGGGCCGAAGTGCGAGGGTGGGCCTTAAGCGCGGTCCAAAGCAGGGCCGCGCCCCACCTGCACCGACAGAGCTGGTCTGAAGCTGCATGTGCTCAGTGCTAGACGGTGTGGTATTCAGATCAGGGCACGCTGATCGCGTGAAACTCGCGGGAAGAAAGACGATGGCGACAGCGCTCGGAAATTATAGGCAGACCTGGTGGGGTGCAAGGGCAAGTTTCCGTGGCTCGCGAACGTCTGGGCGACCTTGCACAGTATGAAGGGAGAAGCTGCTGCACCCCGCCCGAGCAGCCCAGGGAGCTAGCAGGGGTCCCCTTCCGTTTCCCCCGACCCTTGAAGAGCTATATTTCGGATTGCAATGCGCAGTGATCGTGCTTGCCGCTGGCCGAGCGCTCACTAGCCCAGAAGTCAACATCGAGGCACCCAATCACTGTTCTCAGCTGTGGCAGCTCTGATTAGGTCTAGGAGCATTCAATCCGCGATATACCGGGCTGGTGGGAGGCTCCAGCCATGCTGCAGCAGCCCCCGCCGTCGCCGTTGGCGACCCCGCACATCAACCTGGTTCGCGCTGCTGCAGAGGTGCGGTGCAGCGAGCCGCTGGAGGCCTGCACAGCCGTGCTCTGGTACTACAACGCGCTAGAAATAGCCAGCAGCAGCTGTGCGCGGATCGGGGCCTGGGAACAGCTGCGCATGATCACCACCCGCACTGCGCAGTCAAACACCCCTCCCTGTTCCGCTGCGCAGGCTTACGCCCAGAGCAGCCGCAGCAGCCTGGTGCGGCTGCAAGAGGTCTGGCAGGTGGGCTTACTCAACGGGACGTGGCCTGTCCCTGCTGCCGTCCAAGCGTTGGCCCCATGCGCTCGCCCCACTGCCAACCCGACGAGGAGGCGCGCAGCGGCGTCATTACGCTGTGCACCAATCAGTGTTGTCGAGACACGTCTGCTTGTCCGGTCTGCCCTCTCACTGCTGCACAGTTGCGCATGTGCGGAGACGGGCAGGTGGTCCACGCGTCCAATCCTTGCTCACCTGCACTTGCTCCTTCCCCGGCCCCAACAGGATATCGAGCTGCCCCAAGCCCAGCAGGTGGCCGTGCTCGAGGACATCATATCGCGCGCCCACTTGGTCTGGGAGGAGGCCGTCGCCGCCGCGGAGGCGAAGCAGCAGCGGCTGAGGGGGGAGGTTGAGGAGGCGCTGCGGGAGATTGCGGGCATCAAGGAAGAGCTGGGGGATGACGTCATGCGGCGGGGCGCGCAGGCGGAGCTCGACCAGCTCAAGGTGGGGCGCGCACCTGGGTCTGGGGCTTGCGGGGCGGGAAATGACCGGGGTTGGGGGTGTCGGGTGCCATCTGTTGTTCTGTGACAAACCCGACGGGGCAGTGGCGCAGCTGGTGCTGCTGCTGCTGCTGCTGCTGCTGCTGCCGCCGCCGCTGCTGCTGCTGCTGCCGATGCTGCTGCTGCTGCTGCTGCTGCTTCTGCTGCTGCTGCTGCTGCTGCTGCTGCTTCTGCTGCTGCTGCTGCCGGCGCCGCTGCACCACTAGCAGCGATCGAGGTGCCATCAGCACCCGCATGTTGGCACCACACCCCGGCCGCCCCATCCCGTCAAACCTCTGAATGGCCAGGGCGAGGAGCGCGTGCACAAGACGCTGTGCGCGTGGCGCGGGGAGGTGCTGCAGAAGGCGGCGTACTGGCGCAACTGCCGGCTGCAGAGGCTGGGGGAGTACGACGAGCTGCAGGTGCGGGATTAATCGAAGATAGGGTTTGAATGGGCGTCGCGCAGGGTTGGGGGCCACTGGATGTAGCAGAAGGTGCTAGTGGGGCCTTGAGACCAGCTGCCCAGGACAAGGCGCAAGTCGTGCAGTCCGCCAGGCCAACGTTTCGCGGGATCTCGCCTGCACTGAGGCTTTTGGGTTGCGCATGGCTGAGGCCCCTGGGCGGCCACTTGCCCACCCGGTGCCCATCCCTTGCAACCGCAGGCCCTTCTGCGGCAGGCGCGCGCTCAGATAGGCCGCGCACAGCCGGCTGCCCCGGAGCGGCCCAATATTAGCCGCGCCACCATCGAGTACCTGCGGCTGGAGCTGGACAAGCTGCGGGCAGAGAAGGTGCAGGGGTGGTTGGTTCACTGGAGGGTGGAGTGGTTGGTTCCTAGAGGGCGGGAGGATCTCAATGTGTGTCACGTTGAGACGGGGGAAGGGGTGTGAGTCAGCCACATTTGAGTGCGCAGACATCGGGATCGTAGCGCTGGGCATTCCCGTTCTGCATGCCCACACCTCGCGCGCCGCGCCATGTACGCCCCTCGTAACCAGGAGCGCCGCGAGGAGCGGCTGGGCGTGATGACGCAGCAGCTGCGGGGTGTGTGCAGCGAGGTGGGGGAGGAGGCTGAGCTGGCGTTGGCGGAGGTCCACGGCAGCCTGGCCCTGCTGGGGTGAGGGGGAAGGGGGGGAGCGCACTGGTGGGGAGATGAGGGTTGGTCAGGGAACCGGGAGGGTGTCGCCGTCAGCTGGTAGGGGGACAAAGGGCACGACAGGATCACCCCAGAGGCAGGTGGTGGGTCGCTGTGGAAACAGGGGCGGGCTCTGGGGCGTGTGTTGACTAGTGCATGAGTAGAGCTGCAGCTGCGTCGTGTCCTGCCAGACAGAGAGTGGGCAGTGGGCGGGGGCTGCAGCGTCCAGCGGCCAGCGCTGACTGGTTCATGGCGTGACTGGGCCCCGTGCTGCAGGGACTCCACTGCGCGCCAGGTGCTGCGGGATGTGTACAAGCTGGCAGGCAGCGCGGCCGCACCCCCAGGCAGCTCATCGCAGGTGGCCAGGCCGGGGGTCAGGGCGCGGGTCTGCTCCTAGCAATCATATTGATACCGGCAGGAGGGCACCGCATGGCGTGTGGAATTTTGAGCAGCAGCCGTCGGCGTGCACCGTGTGCGCTTGCGCGTTCCTGACCTGGCAGGTGCGGCTGGAAGGCACGATCCGCATGCTGCTGTTGCCCGACCGCCCCTCGCGCCCGCCCTGCACACTGCCAGGTCGACCTGAGTGATGAGACCATGGCGCGGCTGCACCAGAAGCTGGACGCCCTGGGCAACCTCAAAGTGGGGCCGGTGCCAATGACTTCGCGCGGCCTGCTGGCCGTCGCCGCTTTCTCTGTATGGCTGACTAGGGATTTCGATGGTGCAGCCGCGCCCCTTGGCTCTCAGCGCCACGTCCCAAAGACAGATCCAGCCTTAAGGTCGGCTCGTGCGAAGTTGCTGACCGTGGCGCCGCCGCGCCGCACCCCCGCAGGCCCAGCGCTCTGCCCACGCGTCCGAGCTGATGGCGATCCTGCACTCCCTGTGGGACGCCTGCGGCGTGAGCCCCGACGCCCACGAGCGCGCGGCCCTGTCTCGGCTGATGGGCGGCCCGCTGCGGCTGCACACGCGCAGCCTTGAGAAGTGCATGGCCGAGGTGCGGCGGTGCGAGGAGGCCAAGGTGGCGCAGATGCTGGAGATCGTCAACGCCAAGGCCAGGTGGGGGCGGCGGGGGTCGAGGCTGGGCGGGGACTTGAGCTGCGCCTGGGTGTGCGGGCAGGCGGTGCGCTGGCTGGCTGCTGTGCACGGCGTGTGCACTGCAATGTGGTGTCACCTGGGTACAGCCCAGGCACCAATCCAAACCCACTCACCCTGCGCACCCTGCGGGTCGATCGATGTGTTGGATCAACCCTCGACACAACACCACACTCACCCGCTCTCGCGCGTCCCTCCTTTCCCCTGCCGCCAGGGAACTCATTGACCTGTGCGCCGAGACGCACATCGCGCCGCCAGGCGGCCTGGGGCCCTGCATCGCAGCCCTCAACGCGCCCCAGGGCCGCTCCCCCGGGGCCGCGGCCGACCTGCTGACCAAGCTCGTGCGCATGCTGTCAGAGGTGCAGGTGAGGCGCCCGGGGATTTGGCCTGGCAGGGCAGGGGTGTTGAAGGGATGACCCTTGGGGCTATCGGTGGGGTTGCTGTGGCTGGCGTGATGGAGGGCGACCTATATTGCGGATGCGAGCGTGAGGCACTGCGCTGCACCAGCTGCCGTGCTGCGGGGCCCGCCGCCACATGAGTGGCTCTCGCTGGCTACCGTCAACCAGTTGATCTGCGTTGGGTGCGCCTGCGCTGCGCCGCATTTCCGCAGGTGGTGGCTGCCAAGCGCTCCGCCATCATCAGCGGCATCAACGAGGTGGAGGAGGCGCGGCGCGAGGAGGCCTGGCTGTGCGCATTTGAGGCGGACGAGGCGCGCTACAAGGTGCAGCCCGAGTGCCAGGGCGTGGGCGTGCGTGCGTGTATGCGTGTGTGTGTGTGTGTGTGTGTGTGTGTGTGTGTTGTGCGTGCGTGCGTGTGTGTATTGCGCATCTGCCGTTGCAGGTCAAGGGCTCGGCCGGGAAAGCGGGTGAGCGCAGGGCTCCCAGGCGCATCTCACCTGCACCTTCGTGCCACAGATCCTCACCCCTCCCACCCGTTTGTTGCCCCAGGGCCGCGACGCCAACAAGAAGCTGCAGCGCGCCATCAAGGCCCAGAAGATGCGCGAGAGGCTGCCCGCCATGTCGGGGGCGGTGCGGCGCGGCCTGGCGGAGTGGCGCGAGACCGAGGGCGCGCCCTTCCTCTATGACGGCCGCGACTACGACGTGAGGGGGGGGGGGCGGGGCCACGGCAGGCGGACTGTCGGATGCGCGATGGAGGCCTGCTCCAGAGAGGGGCGTGCAGGCATGGGGCTCTTGCGCGCGGCGCAGCTTTATGCGGCGAAGCCGTGGACCCGCTCTCGCGCGTTGCACTGCATCGGACGTCACGCTCATCATCCGCCCCCTTCCCCCCCTCCCCGAATGAAAGGCTCTCCTGGAGGAGCTGGAGCAGCGGCTGGACTTCCTCGCGCAGGAGAAGGTGGCCAAGAGCGCCGCACGCCGCCAGGCCGGCCCCGCCCCCGCCCCCGCCTCCGCCGCTCCCTCGCCCACGCCCACAGGGCGCCTGGGGTCGGCGGCGTCGGCGCCGGCCCAGGGCGCTCCGCGGACGCCGCTGCCAAAGGGCATCTCCACGCGGCAACTGCAGGAGCGTCACTCCATCGCCATCGTGGGCGGGTGCGTGTGGACGTGCACCTGCACGTGGGTTTGCGTGCGTGTGTGTATGTGTGCGCGCACGCGCGCACAACTGTGAGAGTGTGGGCTAGGGACAGGGCAGAGGCCAAAGGGAGGGGCAGCCTGCATGGCTATGCCGTCCCGACAGGGCTGCACCAGCCAGGGTGGCAGCAACTCTGCACATCTGCCTCCTCAGCCGTCCTGAGCACCCTCGGCACTCGTGTGGCCTCTGCTGTCCTTGGCCCCACAGCATGGGCCCATGCAGACGCACCCCCCACACACGAATTCGCGCACACAGACGACTCACACACACGCACGCGCGCACACACACAATCCCACTTCCAGGGGCGCGACAGGGCGCGAGCAGGCCCAAGTGATGCGCAGCAGCGGCCAGCTGGCCGTGAAGGCCACTCCCTCACGGGCAGGCGCGCGCACCCCACCCCCCGGCGCCCGCACGCCCCCTCCGAGCGCCACGCGCACGCCGGCGGCGGCGCCGGGCGCGACACCCAGGGGGCCCGCCGCCAGCGCCCGCCTGGCCGACATTTTCAACCGTTCCCCGCTGCAGCAGAGCGTCCCCACCCTCGAGGCCGCCACAGTGGCCGCCGAGGCCGCCGCCGCGGCCACGACCAGCGACGGCGGCGCGGCGGCGCACGGCGTGCGCACACCCACGCCGGATGTGCCGGGCGGCGGCCACGCCAGGGGCGGCGGTTGCGGCAGCCAGGAGGGCGGCGGCCCTGGCGCAAGGGGCGAGGACCAGGGTATTGGGGACATGTACCGCCGCCTTGTGGCACAGACCGGCGGCAGCAAGCAGGCGGCGGCCGCCTCGCCGCCTTCTGCGCGCGGGGGCGACCAGGGCGCGCACGCCGCAGCGGCTGGGACGCCGCCGTCGGCTGGGCGGGGCGGTTCTCGCATCCCGCAGCCGCAGTTTTGAGCGCTGCATGCGCTCGGCGTGCGGCCCGCTGGTCAAGACTTGTACGAACGACACCAGACAGCGGCCCAAACGATATGCTTTGACAGCGCCGGGACGTACTCGGCCGTGCTGAGCGGCCACGTCTCGCTGACGGCACAAGGCCAGGCGGCTGCACTGCCGGTCCAATTTGCTGCCTTGCACACAGACTCATCCCGCAGCTTTTCAGGATGACTCACGGCCCTGCTAACGGTCTTGGCAGCTGGCACCTTGCTCAAGTAGACTAGTTTGACGGGTGTGGTGTCCTTGACAAGGAGAAACCTCTATTGGCGCCTTTACTGCCGGTGTGCCTAGGACTGGGCTTTGCTCTGGGTCTTTCTGGGTTGATCTTGCCTGTGCTGCAGCGCTGCACTGTGATCCTGAGGGGTTGGGCAGAGGCCTGTGATGCATGTGCGCGCGGACAAAACTGTAACGCGCCAAAGTGGCACGCCCTTGTGACAGGAATGTTGTTGTTTTACAGCCAGACACCCAAACAGCAACATACAGCTATACAGAAGCATTGCACAGCACACGCCCTGGTCAGCCCTGGTTGTGGCGCTGGGCTTGTGTGGGGTGGGGTGGTGATGATAAGAACGCAAGTCTCATTGAAACACTCTGGCTGGGCTGTCTGCCAGAGGGGTTGACAGATTGTAAGGTGATGGATGGGAGGGCTACACAAGCCACACCCCATGGGATGGTGGGGTGCCGTGACGAGGGATGGTGTGGCACAGAGCAGTGCTTTGCCCGGGTGCCGCTTTGCACAAAAATTTGATAATGACTTGAAGACCACTGCAGGAGCGTCCCTGAGAACGCGTCATCACCAGGAACACAGTGGCCGTGGGGTGAGGGGCTCCAGCAGTAAACAAACTAACCACGGCCGACGGCTTGCCCTCACACAAACACACACTATGTGCAACACCAGTGGCATTGCGCCTCAACAATCAGCAACGCAGGAGTGCTGTGCCGATGCAGCAAACTCCCTTGCGTTCCAGCAGCGCCGACAATCGTCAGTGCTGCCATCATTTGCGTAATCCGCCCTCCCTCACCAGCACAGTTCCACCAGCACTGTTCCGCAATGTGGCGTCAATACCTCACCCCCCCTCCGGCAGACTCGAACGAAATGAGCCCGCAAGGCGCCTTGCAAAGCAAGACGACAAAGCTGGGATTGTGATCGGCCGAAAGTGAACACGTCTCTGCTTCTTGGCAGCCAATCCATGAGCCACTGATGCCCTGGGTGCGCCAGGTCTACCATCAACGCATTGCAGCGGGGCGCAGCCGCCTCACCACAAAGCGGCCCACCTCTCAAGCCGATGGCGCGGCGCTGCGCGGCACCACGCGCACAAAGACGCCCTCCGCGGGCGACATGGTGATGCCCGTGCGCACGCGCAGGGGCACCTGTCCGGGCGCCAGCTCAAAGGTGAAGTTGCGGTACAGCTGGGCCAGCGTGAGGCGCGCCTCCTGCAGGGATGAGGGGGCCGAATCGTTGCAAGGCAGGGCTGTTGCCGACAGGGATCGCGCGTGATTACATGATGCAAAAATGCCGCAGCTGCGACCGCATGACGATCCTCACGGGTGGGGCAGTGCTTGGCTGATTTGGCTGATTGAAACGCGTGAGCGCGAGCGGTGCCACACACGGAGGCCTGGGGTGAGCCATGGGCAGCACAGGCAATGATGGCGGGATCACCTGCAGGGCGAAACGGTACCCGATGCACATACGCGCGCCCGAGCCTGGGAGGGAGGGTTTGCGCCGGTGTGTTGTGCAGAGGAGCAGCGTCAGCCCTGGCAATAATGCCTAGACGGCAAATCATCAGGGGTGTGTGCGACAAGCTGCATGGTCGTTCGGTGGGCTTTGACTGTAATAATGCCTTCCCAGGGGAGACCTGCTGACTCTAGAAGGCAGCTGCTTTGGGGCGCCTCACCGAAGGGCAGGTACGCGTTGGGGTTGGTAGCCGCCAGGTCCTCGTGGCCCTTGTGTTGTGTGAGAGGGTGAAAGGGGGGTGTGAGGAAAGGGAGGGGGTGTCGGAGGGTGTGTGTGGAAATGGCCGGCAGCATGCTCTTGCCGAGAATGGCACGAGGCCAGCACGCGGCAATAAATCACGTTTGACAAGCACGCCTGCTGGATGCCCGGCACAGCCCCAGACGACACATGTGTACGGTGGTCACACACGCACGCACACACCCCCACATCCAGACGCGCACGCGCGCGCACCTTGATCCAGCGCTCTGGCAGGAAGGCGTCCGCCTTGGGCCAGTATGCGGGGTCCCGCTGGATGGAGTAGGTGGCCACCACCACCGTGGCGCCGTCAGGGATGGCATAGCCCCCCAGCTCAATGGCGCCGCGCGCCTCGCGCATGGTGGAGGCGCCGGGGGGGTAGAGGCGCAGCGCCTCGTCCACCACGGCGGCGGTGTAGGGCAGCTGCGTCCAACAGGGTTTGGGATGTAAGTAAGGGGCGCGCCTGCCAGGGTGCCGTCTGCCAGAGTCGCTGCATCGTTGAGCGACGAAAGCCCCTGCAACGCTGCTGACGCCCGGCGGCAGCCCTGCAGCTAATGACAAGTCCCAGCAGCGAGGTTTAGGCTCAGCGCCCTCAGCCGTTTCGAAACATTCAACCCGTTACTCCTCCAAACGCACACGCACACGCGCATGCTTGCGCAGGCGCGGGTACACACACACACACACACACACACACACACACACACACACACACACACACACACATACACAAACAAAAAAACACGCCCCTGAGCCGCCATCTCTGTCCCCCTCTCACGTGGTCCAGGTCGTCCACGGTGACCTCGCGCCCCGCGGGCCCCCCCAGGGCGTCCAGCTCAGCCAGCACCCTGGCCTGGGCCTCGGGGTGGGCTGCCAGGCAGTAGATGGCGTACGACAGCGTGTTGGCCGTGGTCTGGAGGGGATGTGCAGGGGTGCCGAGGATGCATGGGCTTGAGATAAGTTTGAAGGGATGCCGGACGCTGCCTGAGAGGATTGACCAGTGGTGGTGTGCCCCCGCCCGCGCCAGGAACGGCAGCATTTCCCAAGCACCCCTGCTGCAGCGTGGTGGGCGGCGCAACACAATATGAAGCAGCAGCGCGCCCGGCCCACCTCGTATCCTGCGAGCGTGAACACGTTGGCCTGCGCCGCCATCTGCCTGTCGCTGAGGGCGTGGCCCTCCTGGTCGCGCGCCGCCAGCAGCAGCCCCAGGAAGCTGCCGGGCGACACGCCCACGGGGCGGTGGGCGGCGGAGGCCGAGGGCCCGGCCTGCGGTGAGGAGGGGACGACGGGGCTGGCGGCGCCACTCTGCGCGGCGTGCTGCTGCTGCTGCTGCTGCTGCTGGCGCGCCTGGTGGGCGCGTGTGTCGCTGATCAATGACAGGCTGGTGCTCTTCAGGGTCTTGCGGGCCTGTTGGAGGGCGGCATGCGTGAAGGCAGGAGCTGGGTGCAGCACGCCAGGACGTCAAAACTGCCAACCGGCTGGTGCAAATATCCCGATCCCAGGTCTTTTGCGACGACAATTTTGCAACAACAAACACGCGTGCGACAATTTTTTATGGTTGTTTTCGCCGGTTGTGTCCTCCCCCCCCCCTGCCCTCACGTGGACAAGGCGCTTGTAGCGCGCATCAGGGAACACCGCCACCAGCAGCTGCAGCACCGGTACCAGCACCGGCATCAGGTGCGCCGCCACCAGGTACCGCGTCGCGTTGCCAATCTCGCTGCACTCAAACATGTCCGCCGCGGCCTGGACCAGCGCAGCTCCGCCGGACCTGCTGCGCATGCGTGCAGGGGCGCCGTCCCCCTGCCCAGGCTGGGCCGCCTCCTGCCCCACCGAGCCCCCCTGCCCCTCCTCCTGGGCCAGCAGGTCAAAGTCAACGCCGTACGCGGTCGACCCCACGACAGACATTGTCATGCGCCCGACCTCCCTCCAGATGTTGATGGCGGGCGCGCCGCTCCCTGCCGCGTCGCCCTCCTGCGCCGCGGCCAGCCCGCGCAGTCGGGCCACCAGGCGGCGCGTCTCAGACGCCATGACTGGGGCGTAGCCGTGGAGGGACTCCGAGTGGAAGGTGGGCTGCCACACCTTGCGCAGCATGGACCACATCCCGTCGCGGCTGAGGAACAGGCCCTCCATCACTGACCGCAGCACCTCCCCTGGTGGAGGTGTGAGGGGGGGGGGAGGAGGGGTCCGGCGGGATGGGGGAGGATAGGGAGGGGGGAGGGATTTGTTGGGGTGAGCTCTGTGCCGGTGAGCCGCCGGGCGCAGTGGCAGGCGGCAAAGCAGCGGGCGTCGCCGCTGCCATCGGCTGGAGCCTGGTGGCGTGCGACAACGCAATTCGGCTCAGAAAGTATGAGCGGTGCGCCACAAGCCACGCGCTGCAGCTGCTGGCGTGCCGCCTGGCAGCAGCACAGCGTCGCACACCACCTCGCCTAGCAAAAAGCAGTGGCGGCAGGGGGCCATCGCGCCCGCGCCTTAGCCCACCTCTGGCGAGGGGGTTGGTGAACCCAAACGGCCGGTTGAGCAGGCGGTAGTTGGCGCGCCGCCCCATGTCCGCGTCGGCGACCACCACCCAGGGCCGCGCGCCAAACCAGACCTTGAAGACGGGGCCGTACTGCGCGCGGCACCTCTCAAACAGGGCGTGGCTGCCCTCCGCGATGATATCCGGCAGGTTGCCGACCAGCGGGCGGTACGCGGGGCCGGGGATGTGACGGTAGCGCCAGCGCGCGTAGGGGTTGGTGAACAGCACCACCAGCAGCGCCTGCGCGGGGGCGGCGGTGGCGGCGGCGGCGCGAAGCGCTTGCACTGGTGACAACCGCGCAAAGTGTGAGGAGGCGGGGGCGGAGCTGGCGGAGAGCAGCTGAGGCGGATGCCGAGAGGCGGAGCATGGAATGCTCCATCACCACACATGCTAGTGGCTTCTTTGCGCGACTGCTGTGAGGCGGCTGTGGGCCCAAAATGGGGCTGTGTGTGGCTGGCCATTCCAAGATGAGCAGAGCCGTCCGGGACCAGCTAGTGCGACGGCACACGCCCCATGTCAGCGCTGCGCCGAAAGCGCCGACATGTTCCTGTTGCCTCCATGTATGTCACAGCAATTGTGCTGCTTTGCGGGGCTCACCAGGACACATAAGAGGACGCACTTGATCACCGGGACGCCGTGTAGCACGTGGGCAAGTGCGCCGAACGCGGCAAGCACCCCAAACACCACAACGCGCTCTCGTTCTTCTGGCGTCATAGTTATATGATTGCTTCGCGCGCTCCGTGTCTAGCACCGCCGCGGCGCAGGCTGGTGGGCACCTTGCTTGACAAGTGCGCGACTCGGCGTATCTAAAGTATCAACGGTGTTGCAGTTGAAACCAACAAGTGATTAAACAATCATGAAGGTCCCGGCAGAAGGACCATGAACCAAGCGTACACAGCCGAAAAAATGGCATGGAGGATTACCCCACCAAAACGAGGCTAGGTCACAACTTCTGTATGTCACACTAGAAAATCGGCTATTTCTGTAAAACATCCTCCTTCGCCGCCCAGGCACAGTCGTGTTACTGGTTGACCATTGCATTGATGGGTTGACAAGATGGGTCCAGGTGATTACCTGAACAAAGCTCACCACGACGCAACGCATCGAGGGATGCGTCCTGCGACTTTACTCACAGGCTCGCCGAAAATCGTGTATGGGCACGCCAGCACATGTAGCAGGGTGCGTGCCGCCAGCTGACATGCGGGCAGGCCGGGAGTGTGCTGTTATCTGGCCGCAAGGTGTCAGGATGGCGGGCTTGTGCCAAGCGGCACGCGCCTGCGCCTGTGGCCTTTTCGCTGCTGACATGCAACCTGCGCCCGTCCTGGCGGTGACACGCGCTGGACATCTGGCAGCGCACATGCAAGTTCCGCAGGCATGCATCATGCATAGCACGGATTCTTGGTATGAGTTGATAGACAAGGCCGATACATATGGTACCCGATGAAACAATTGTTCAATGCCGCGCAACCTTCTGCGCCCCCTTTCAACCTATTGCATAAGGACACCAGATGTATTCACCCAATGTATTTCAACTTCCAGCACAAGTGAGTCAGCCGCCTCCAAGACTTGGCTGGCTGGCATACATGGGCTGCTCTTGCATGAGGTCACAGCCTCAGGCTAAGATGATCCATGATTAACTCTGCATACAAATATCTCTCAACGTCCAAAGCATGCCAGGGTTTTGGGCGTTTCCTGATTGGCTGCGCCAGTAACTTTCCGGGCTCTCCCCCCCCCCCCGGTACAACGCTCACAACTGGATGAACACCAAGCTTGGAACTCCCTGATGTCTCTTTACAGACAGGTTTATCAAGCTTGTACCACGCAGTTGCGCTGTGAAGGGGCCCTGCAAGCGCATTGCCTGCAAGCGGCGCCTGGTGCATAGCACCGCCCGCCGCCCGGCACATCATTGCGTGAGCGACGTGTTGGAAAAGCGGACAGCCATCACCAACTACGTCTGGGCGAGGTCACACGTGCGCAGAGCGGCAGCACACCCGAAGACAACCACAGCTCGAGCTGGTGACACTGCTACAGCAAAGACCACCATTCAATACCATTAAACAGGCAGTTCAGACATCGTATCAAGGTGTGGGGCAGAGCTTTTCATGTATATGTACGCGTCTTATCAGAGGAAAGAGTGTCAAGAGCCTCGTTAGCGCGCGGCTTCGACACGGCCAGCAGCGCGGCTGCTGCGCAGGTGCACAAGTGCAACGAATGCACGGCACCGCCGCAACGCTTGAGGAAGGGCGCGGCGCAAGACCAATCTGCTTATGATCATTTCGAAATCGATTTCAATATCAGTCCGCGCCCCGCACAGACCGTTGCGTACTGAGCAGCTTGGTGGATCGGCACGGCCCTGGTCCAGCACGCTCTAAAACGTGTAAAAAGGGTGCAACAACCCCCTTGGACTTCTTTGAACACAGGAATGGGGCCTATAGCAGCAGTGCTTGAGGTAAGTAGTTTTTGCAGCAGCGCTTCAGCACACAGCGGGACCTCCGCTGACATGTTTTATTTGACATCAACGTAGGGTTTACTTCCAAATGGCAAGGAGTTGATGGCGGTTCTCCGGGCATTTCTCCAGGCAGAGCCGGTGAGGCAACGGCGTTTTTCGGCGCGAGCGAGCCCGTAAAATTAGAAAGTTGCGGGTGACACATGCAGGAAATGTATTTGTGTCGGTGCCAGCACCAGCGGTGAACAGGCGGCAGCTCGAGCGTGCGCTCTCTTGGTTTCGCGCAGGCCATGGTGGCGTGCGCGGCGGCGCTACTTTTGGCGGGCGCTCTTCTGTGGCGCCTGGTGACGCGCCGCCGTGTGTTTCTAGTGGACTACTCGGTCTACCGAGCGCCTGACAGGTAATCAGTTCGTGCCAGGCACCTGCTTCACATGCGGCGGTTGGTCACGCACACACACCTGGCAAGCAAAAGCTGCCAGGCAAAATTTGCTGCATCGGCAGACACAGACCTCAGACACATCGCTCTGGCCTTGCGAGAACTTCAAGACATTTCTGGGGCGCAAATTCTGCTGATATCGCGCGATTAGGCCCAGGCGGTGCCATCTCGATGATAGTTGTCATATGAGGAGGAGGCATGAAGGCCCAAGCACTGGCGTCTGAACGGCGCTCAGCACCTGCAGCGGCGCAAACCACAGGGGGGGCTGACAGGGGCTGCGTGGAAAATTCTATCATGGCGAAAGCAGCTTGATTACTCACTCAGACTATGGCTGAGTGTTGACGGCAGGTGCTGCATAGGGCCCAGGCAGCACAGCATGTAGTTGTAATGCTGGCAGATTGGCCCTTATGGGTTGGCAGCGGGTCAGCTCAGCAGTGACGGTTTGGCTTGAAGCACAGTGTATGAGTCCAGCTTTTGACGCGACCTTCCAAGGCAGCCATGCAAGCTGTAGGCATGCGCACACCCTTGAGCACACTGTGGGTGTCAGCACACAGGTCTGCACCAACTGCTCTTGTGTGCAAACTTTCTCCACACAAACACATGCACGCGCACACTCACTCACACACACACACACTAGTAGTCATGTTCCTCTCCCTCTGGTGCTTACTCATAGCCCTGTCTTGACCCCTCCGCTATAATCCACCACCTCCCCGCCAAAACTCGCACCACTCCAGCTGGAAGGTGTCCAAGAAGGAGTACGACGTGATCGTGGCCTCCACCAATAACTTTGGCCCCGAGTCGCTGCAGTTCATGTCAAAGGTCCTGGCGCGCAGCGGCCTTGGTGACGAGACCTACGCGCCCCCGTCGCTCACCAACGTGCCCATGGACCTGACAATGGCATCCTGCCGCTTCGAGTTCGAGTCTGTCGCGTTTGGCGCGGTCAAGGACCTGCTCAACAAGGTCAATGTCAGCCCCAAGCAGATCGGCGTGGTCATCACCAACAGCAGCCTGTTCAACACCACGCCGTCCCTCAGCGCGACCATCATGAACCACTTTGGGATGGGATCCAACACCATCAACTACAACCTCGGGGGCATGGGCTGCTCAGGTGGGCTGGAAACTGTCAATCGTCTCGCATGTCCTTGCACGCGAGTCGGCCATATCCTGAGTCCGTTAGCTGCGCCGCTCCTGGAGGCACGCGCGCCTGCGCTCACCACACCCGCCCGACGCGTGTCGCCGGGTCACTCATCCCTACCGCAGCCGGCGTCATCGCGGCCGACCTGGCGCGCCAGATGCTGGAGATCTACCCCAACACCTACGCCCTGGTGGTGTCAACGGAGAACCTCACCTACAACTGGTACCCGGGGACAAACCGCGGCATGCTGGTCACCAATACCATCTTCCGCGTCGGTGGCGCCGCGCTGCTGCTCTCCAACAAGCGGAAAGACAGCCGGTGAGGGGGAGCGGGCTGCGCGCTATGGTGGGCCACAACACGCCTCCGCACATCCAACAGTCGCAGGAACAGCAGATGCAGCAGCAGCGGCATTGCTGGAAGCTTGTGCAGTGACAGTGGCAGCGGTGGCAGCAAAGAAGCAATCAAAGGCCAGTGAAACCAACAGCGGTGGCCGGGAGGGGTGTGGGGCGGAGTGTGGCAGTGCTGCAGCAGCCTCAGCGTTGGCAGTGACACCAATGGCGTTAAAGGCTTGTCGAAGTTTGCAGAGCTGCAACAGACACAATCAGCAACAGATTCCAAACATTTTTGAAGCCGGGCGTGGTCAGCTGCATGCGTGTGGCTGATAGCTGAGCCCCTTCCCTCACCTTCCACTCGCACCCCCTCCCCCTTCACTGCTTCCACTCGCACCCCCCTTCGACAAAAAAACCCCCTAAAAACCTAGGCGCTCCAAGTATGAGCTGCAGCACGTGGTGCGCACCAACCTGGCAGCCAACGACGCGGCCTTCAACTGCGTGTTTGAGGTGGAGGACGAGGCGGGCGTGAGGGGCATCCGCCTGGCCAAGGAGCTCATGGGCGTTGCAGGTGAGGCACCTGCAGCGGGATGGGTGGGGCTGTGGCTCGGGGGCTGGGGCATCTTGGACTTGCAGGTGAGCTGGCAATAACAATGGGCACGGTTCAGATGTCGATGGCGGTGTGTCAGGCCACTCAAGTCAGATGCAGCCAATGAGGAGGGGTTCCCCTGCCCCAGGTACACAAAAACCCCTCACTCCAGTGAGCTGGTTCAGGAGCATCAGTGATGGCCGCCGTGCTGACGGCCACCTCGTGCGCGACCCTTTGCTCATCCCTCTGTCATCCTTCAATTCTCCTCCCTCTCAGGCATGGCCCTGAAGACCAACATCACCACCCTCGGCCCCAAGGTGCTGCCAGTGACCGAGCAGCTGCTGTTTGCCGCCAACATGCTGGCTCGCAAGGTGTACGGCTCCAAGAGGGTCAAGGCGTACGTGCCCAACTTCAAGAAGGCCTTCAACCACATCTGCATCCACACAGGTGCGCGGCATGGGCATTTCATCTAACAGGCCAGCCACAGTGGGGGGTGCGCCTGCAACCTCGATCGCAGCGCCCCCCACATGACAGAGCCCTGATTCCCACAATTCCTGCGAGCCTGGAGCCTGGCCTCGTCTCACACCGACCCCTGTACGCCCCAAACCCCACCATAACCCTCTGACGTGAAGGCGGCCGCGCGGTGATTGATGAGATTGAGAAGCAGCTGACCCTGGGCCGCGAGACCGTGGAGCCCAGCCGCGCCTCGCTCTTCCGCTTCGGCAACGTCAGCAGCAGCAGCATCTGGTACTGCCTCGCCTACATTGAGTCATACCGCGGCCTCAAGCGCGGCGACACGGTGTGGCAGGTCGGCTTTGGCAGCGGCTTCAAGTGCAACAGCGCGGTGTGGCGCGCCAACCGGCGCATCCGGGACGCACACCCGGCATGGGAGGGCTTTGATGTGGCGCACATGTATGACCAGCTCGCCAAGATGACCTGATGGTGATGTCAGCCGTGGCGCACCTGTGGCGGCACAGGGCATGACGCCCAGGCACCCTGGTAGCTTCATATGCTGGGCGCTGACAGTTCAGCAGCGGGGGAGTTGTTGCTGTGCGGGATGGCGCTGCGACAGCTCTCACCCCGCGCCGCGATCGCGTGCCGGTGCTATAAGCGCACTCCACAATTGGGTTCGCAGCGCTTGCCCTGGCGAGCGGCCAGAACTGCACACATGTGCCCTAGTTTCATCAACATGTGCTCTGGGCAGAGTGGTATGCGCGACCCGCAACATTTTATTTGTGCCGCTCGTGGCCTTTGGCCCGCGCAAGGCTGGCCTGGCCAGAAACCCATTCCCACTCCTCGTGGGGTTGAGGTGTGCTGGCCGGGGTTGTGACCAGCCGGTGGCGGTGTCGGGTGCGCGTCTGCGGGGCCTCCCCGTCCAGGATGGCCTGCCACCCAGGATGCGCACATGTTTACCCGTCCACCCCCCAAAGACTGCAATTGGCTGTCGGCATCGCGCGCAGCCCTGGGCATCTCAGGTCTCATGTGCCCAGCAGAGCGGGACCCCCACGCCGTTGCAAGCATTGCTTTGTTATTCCCCACTTGGTGTTTGGCCGCGATCGCTTAATTGTTATTCGCGTGGTAGGCTGTTGGTGTAGGTCAGAGTGCAGTCGCCTGCCGCATGCACGGCGGGCACCCTCGTAGCCACCCCCGCACCCCCCCTGTGCACTGCACGCACGGGTCGTGCGGGGGCTGCCAGGGGACGGACCAGGGGGCTGGCCGCGGGCACGCCATTTGCCTTGCGGAGAGTAGCCCCCTGCTCTTGATCCCGGCCGGCCACCTCAGATGAGGGCGGAGTGGGTGGTGCAAAAGTTTGTGTGCAGCGATAACGCTGGCCTTGCAGCACCCCTCTGTATTATTGTTGGCAATCGCTTTGCGCAGCCCAACAGCGCGCGGCGCCAGCCCTGCCCCAGTGCCCTGTCTTGCCAGGGCGGTGTGCAAATCCACCCGCGGGTTGAAGCGCGCTCCTTGGTCTGCAGCACCTCGCTCCCTGGTGTAAACACACCCACATGAAGGCATGGCGACGTTGTGGGTTCCAGGGCATAGAAGGAGGTGCACTCAAAACATGCCGCCGCTGCTACGGCTGTGTCATCTCTGGTCAAGCCCAGATCCGCAGCTGTCGCAGGCTAACGAGACTGAGCATGCATGGGGGAGCCAAGTCACCATGCTGGGGGCCAGTGTTACCTGCCTACGTGGCGGCTGGCTGGTGCCACGCTGCGCCAGGGCTGCAGGCTTGGATTCAAGATCAAAATTTTGCACACGTTACCAAAGAACAAGGTAGGGGTGTCCAGGGCCCCCAACCAGTTAGCCCGCATGGCGCAGTCTTTAAGAGCTGAGCACAAGGGATGGGGCTGTCCGCTCTCATGCTGAATGATTCGTGGGAGCACGCATCACAGCATTCACCACCTTTGGGGCTTGTCCCCGCCGCGCAAGTGGCGCTGTGCTCCCCTGGATGGTGCGTGGCTGAGCTGGTGCTGAAAAGAGCGAGTTGCGCTCTGGCAACCAACAACGAGCCTGCCGTCCCAGACTAAGGAAAAGGAAACTCGAAACAGTTGCAAAGGTGGACCCTTTCCTCAATGATAAGAACTACTGAGCCCTCCCAGGGCCCCGGTAACACGCGAGCTGCGCTTTCAGGAACTACGGCCCGCTAGCTGAGCGCTGGACTGCGATGCACCGCCGATGCGACCCCGCCAGCCGGTGTCGCTGCGTGTGATTGTCGCGGCCTACCGTGCCTGCTGCGCTCATTCCCCGGCCTTGGCCCCTATTGCGCGCGCAAACTTGATGAACACCTCCTCCAGGGTGGCGTTGGCCACCCCCCAGTCCAGCACGCGCAGCCGCTGCGAGCTGCTGTCGGCCTTGGCCGCCGCCATCGCCGCAAATACGCCGCTGAGCGACACCTGGGGTTGCAGTGGAGGGGGGCGCCCAGAAAACAGGACAGCATGAGGCGCTGCGTCTGGCAGTGTTGGCCCATAGCCCAAGCCAAGGTGCCCCGTTATACAGCCCCTCCAGGAGTGGTGTGGGGAGGTGCAGTAGCATCACCCCTGCAGGTGCGAGTGCTGGCTCGAGACCCTGGGGGTGCAGGAGTGCCCCACAACGCGCACACCTCGTCGCTGGGCAGCTCGAACTTTAGGGTGCCGCCGACGCTGTAGGTGAGCCGCGCGTTGGGCGCAAGCCGCTCCACAAATGCGCGCGCCTGGGACTCCTGGCCCCCCGCCACTGTGAGTGTCATCACCAGATAGCCCCCATACCTGGGAGGGGTGACCATTCAGGGTTCATGGTTCAGTTCCAAAGGTGGGCTGTTGTTGGTCTGATTGTGTGTGGCAAGCACATGCAGTTGCGTAGTGCATGGAGAGCACAAACACACAACGTGTGCATGATCTCTTCGACATTACGCGTAGTGGGAAAGGGAGGGCGGCGGGCCACAAGCCCACGCGGAAGAGTAGGGCTTTGAGCCGCCAGGGAGTCCCGGCCCCACCTGCTGGTGATCTCCTTGGGGTTGCCAATGCAGACCAGCCGGCCGTCCACGAATATGCCCAGGCGGTCGCACAGGGTCTCGGCCTCCTCCATGGAGTGCGTGGTGAGCACAATGCCGCGACCGGCCTTGTTGCTCTTGACCACGTCCCACAGGTTGCGCCGCGATGCGGGGTCCAGGCCCTGGGGGTGAGGGGTGGGGGCCCAGAGAGGTGCGGGGCCATGCGGGTTGTGATGTTTGCGCAAGCTGGGTATGCAGGTCGTGCAGGGGTGCGGGTGCAGGGGGTGCAGCGCAACACGTGGATTGTGGGCAGCTCAGGCACGTCAGCCCGTCGCTCCCCTCCCGGGGACTGCACGTCTGAAGTGGTCACACTCGCATGGGCGGCGCCAGCACACAGGGCTTTGCCCTTCATCCTCTCTGTCACCCGCCCCTCCCCCCCCCCAAAAAACCTCACTCCCCAACAC